CCGCGCGGCGCTGGCGCTGCTGGCTCGGGAGCCGCCGGGCCCGGGGCGCGCAGGGCTGCTGCGCGCCGCGCTGCTGGTGGTGGCGCGGCTGGAGCGCGATCTGGGCATAGACCTACCAAAGGCGGCCGCCACCGCCGGGGCGTCGCCGGTGAGTCTCTCGGGCGTTGTCACGCCATCGCGCTTGCGGCTTCGGGGTGTGCCCTTGCGCGCGCCTCGGGCCGGGGCGGGCGGCAGTGCGTCGTCTGGGCTTAGATGCGTCTGCTGCCGCCCACGACGGGCCTGGCCCCCCCGATCCTTCTGCCTCTTCGCCCCTCACTCGGTCCGTTTGCACGACACGCCGCGGCGTGCGCCGCCGCCGCCGCGGCAGGTGTCGGTTGATGTGGTGACGGCGCTGTACCAGCTGCTGGGCTGCCACGGGGACCCGGCGCTGCGCCAGCTGGCGTTCATGGCGCTGCAGCGGGTGGCGGGGCAGCCGGCCACGCTGTACAGGTGACCGCGGCCCCAGCAGCGCCCACGCGCAAGCAAGGGAAAGAAAAAAACGCACATCACATCGTACGGCTTGCACCCGGGCCCCGACGCCGGCGCCGCGGGGCTGTTGCGGGTCTTGCGCTGCGGGTCGATTCGGTCGCGCGTTCCCCTCAACACCTGACATCGGCGCCGCCACTGCCCAAATGACAATGCCTGAGTCTCCTGATATCTACATCAACTCGATTATGTACCGTGTGCATGTTGCCTTGACGCCACATCTTCAGTCTGTCAATCGTGCCTCTAATTCCAACTCCCAACTGCCAGGGAGCGCGAGGAGGAAGGCGACCAGGCGCTGCTGGCGGCCGACCCAGCGGAGCGCTCCGTCAGCATGCGCACCGGCGCGACCGCCGCCGCGCCCGCGCCCACCGGCGGCGCCCGCAAGACGCCCACGCGCAGCGGCCTGCCGGCCGCGTCCGCCGGCGGCGCGGGCGCGGTCTCGGGCGGCGCGGGGACCCGCTCGAACCTAGACGGGGCGATGCCGGCGCGGTCGGCCGGCACGTTTGCCGGCACTGGGACGGTCACCAACGTGCCGCGCCCAAGCCGGGTCCGGCTAGGGATCAAGCTGCCGTCGAGCCGCGAGCGCGACGGCGGCGCAGGCGGCACCGCGGCAGCGGCGTCGGCGGCGCCGTCTGTGTCGAGGGACGCAGGGGCAGTCTCTAGGGAGCTGCCTGGCTCACCCGCCACAGGGTGCGCGGCCGGGCGCCTCCTCGCACGCTTGTGTGCACGCATGCGCATGTGCGGCGGGCAGCTGGTGGCGGCATCGGCGGGGTCGTCGGAATCTGCAGGGCTAGGGCATCCCCCCGCAGCCGGGCAGGGGGCAAAACACCGACCTGTCCTAGTTGTTTGTCGCCGCCTGCCGCCGCAATGTTGGAGTGACGATGCACGCGCTCTCGTCCGCACCCCCTTGCAGGTCGAAAGGCACCGCGGCCGCGGGGCCTGCGGTGTCGCATCCCACTCAGAGCGCGTTGTCGCCACTGGCGCACCCTGCCTCGTCAGCAGGCACAGCTGCAACCGCCGTGGCCGCGGGCGCGAGCAGCGGCGCGCCCCCGCTGCCGCAGCCCGCGTCCGCCGCCGCGGCGCCGAGCCCGCAGCCTGCTGCTGCGGCGCCCGCGCCCCAGCCTGTGGCGCCGCCGCCTTTGTTGCCGCCAGCTCAGCCGCCTGCGCCGCCGCGGGTGCAGCTGCCGGCCCAGCCCCTCGCATCACCGGCGGCGCCTACTCAGCCGCCCGCAGCCGCCGCGCTGCCGCCAGCTGAGCGCCCCCCCTTGCGGGGCGTGACGCCACCGCTTCCCTCGCCGGCTGCGGCGGCGGCGGTCGCGGCCGCAGCGGCGCCCGCGGCGCCTGCCGAGCAGCTGCCCAGCGCGCAGCCGGCGCCCGGGCGGAAAATCTTGTTGGGGAAGAAGCTCGGGCGCACGCCGCCTCCTCCCACCGCCCTGCCCGCGCATGTGGCCGCGCCCCCAGCCGCGCCGCCGCAGCACGCGGCACCGGCGCCAGCCGCTGCTGCAGCCGCGCCGGCGGCCGCCGCGGGGGCGGGGGGAGGCGGCGTCAAGCGGCCTCTGGAGAGCCCTGGCGGCGCCCCCGAGCCGTCCGCCAAGCGGCGCGCCCCGTCGCCGTCGCCGGCGGCCCCATCAGCAGCAGGAGCACCACCAGCACCAGCAGCGCCCCAGCCCCCGCCCCGCGCCGCGCCACAGCCGGCGCCCGCCGCGGCCGCGGCAGTCTCGGACGCGCCGCCCCCGGCGCTGGCGCCGAGCGGCAGCTTCAAGGCGCGGCTGTCCCTCAAAGGGAAGCCTCTCGGCCTCAAGGGCAAGCCGTTGGGCCCGGCGCCCGCCAGCGCCGGGACCAGCACCGCCACCGGCGCCGGCGCCGGCGTCAGCGGGGGCGCGCCGCCGCCGCCGCCGCCGGGCCTGGCCAGCCAGCCGTCCACCACCAGCACCGGCGGGCTGTCCAGCATGCCGAGCGTCGGGCAGTCGCAGCAGCAGCAAGCGGGGGCGGCGCGGCCGAAGCTCACGCTCAAGCCGCTGAGCAGAGCGCCGCCCCCGGGGCAGCCGCCGGGGCAGCCGCCGGGATCTGGAGGGGGCCCGCCCCCGCCGCCCGCTGGAACAGGCGGGGGCGGTGCGGCGGGGGGCGGCGGGGCGGGGGCTGGCAGGAAGCTCAACCTGAAGACTCGCTGATATCAGCAGGGCGCGTTGCGAGGTTGTGGCTGCGTTGCGATGTGTGTGCAGTGGACTACGGGAACCTGCCCCTGTCGTGGTCCGCTGTAACCCCATGTTTCGTTCTGTGTTTCGGTCAGCGGCCGAATTTGGCAATGCATGCGGGTTGGTGCCGCCTGGCACGCAACAATCGCCCCAAAGTCTGGAGAGCAGCGTCTCCTATTGCAAGCACGCAGTATCCAGTGGGGGGCATTGAAGTCTTGCAGCGCCATCATCCAAGCAGCAGGCTCAGCCAGAACGGGCTCATCCAGCAGCGTCCGGAGCGGAGCTGCAATCATTCACCCAGCAGGCGCACAGCAGCTTTGCCAGCTGCATACAGTACTGTACACTGACGCCGGCCCCTGCTGCTGCGCCAAGCTGCGTGTCCCTGTCTATCAGGCCAGCTGTTTCTTGGGGGCGGGGATTACTTGGTGCTCAAATTGAACGTGGGGGTGCAGATTGCGAGTTGGTGTCGGGCCTTTCTGCCTAAACGGGGGCGGCGTGTGTCTTGACCAGTCAATGTGATACGAGCTGCAACAGGGCGCATGAACGCTGTGGGGCTTGTGAAAACGCGGCGTGCAAGGATGAAAAGCTTTGACGCACTCCCAGAAGCGTCGACGACTGCCGTGTTGCAAGTGCGGGTGATCGCGGGTCGCCACCTCCTTGCTGCAAGGCGTCGAAAGGTCCTAATATGGTCAACACAAGAGTCGGGTGCGCCGTCGCGCTGCACAAATTACAGCGGTTGGGTTTTGCTGCCTGAAATTGTGGTGAACCAACACGGCTCGCACCACAGAAGGCAGTGCGAGCCCAGGCAAGACCGCAATGACGCACGGCGGGCGAGTGTCGAAGCGGCGCCTGAGCTGCCAGGGGTCGGCAAGCGCCCGCCGATGCGTGATAGGAATGCCTTGGTAAGGGTGAGGTGTGGCGGCCGGCGGCGACCCCATTGCTGGGGGCTGGCTGTTTCCAGGTGAAAGGCGCACGCGGCGCAAAGAGGAATGTTTGTGGCAAAAAGTCAAACGTGTTGGGGTCCCAAAGTCTGTCGGCTCGGCCCAGAAAGGAGGTCCCGCAAGAGAGGCAAAGTGCTGGCACGCAGGGAAGCTCAGACCCAAGTTTCCAGGGGAAAGAATCCAGGGGAAAGAAGGTAGCAGGGCAGCGGCAGTGAACGTGGGGGCGCAGGGGCGGCCGTCAGGCAGATACCAGGTGCAAGCGCAAAGCGCAGTGGGCGTTGCCGTGGTTCGTTGAGGCGAGTGAGTGTCGCGTCACGAGTGTGTTCTGAGGGACGAGGCGGGAGCCGTTCGTCAGCACGCCGTGTTGGTTTTTAGTATCAGCGAGCGTGCACCTGCAAGGAAGCTGCTGCTGGGGTGACAAGACGGCAGAGCGCAACCAATGGAACTCCATGCCCCGATGCAAGCAACCGGTGCGCAGGGGGCGCAGGTTGCAGTGCTGGGCAGGCCGTACCGCCAAAACCAGCAGGCGCCAGTGCGGCTGTTTCGGATGCAAAGAGCGACGCTGCCGGTGTGCGCGGCGATGGCGCGCCTTATTCACGGCTTTCGTAAAACGATGCAGGGCGGCTCAGCACTCAGCTGTGCTTGGGCCAAGGGACGCGTGCGGTCTCGAGCAGGTCAAGGTGGGGACTGGCAAGGCAAGATGGTGGCGGCAGGGCAAAATAGCCCGAGTGCAGAAGTCTTCGAAAACGCCAAAGACGCCAAACGCACCAGCGGTGTGGCGCCCGCCGTCTGATGACGGCCAACTCGTGCCAACCGCAAGCCGCGCGCAGCGCGCAGGTTGCAGCGCGCATGTGGGGTTTGCCGCTTTGACGGCCGGCTGTGCGATTGGCGTTGAGCGGTGCAGCGAGGGGCCAGGATCAGGGGGCCAGGGCTCGGTTCAAAGGGGCCAGGGTTTTGCGGCCAGGGACAAAAGGGTGTCCAGGCTCAGCTTGAGGTGTGTCAGGGTTGCCAGGAGGCAAGGCGGGCGGAAAGGCCGCGGTGCACAGGCGTGCGGCCCGCCGCCTGTATGTGTGCCACAAGCGATGGCGTTCATCATGGTTCGTCGGTGGCTTATCATGGTTCGTCGGTGGCTCTTGGGACTCCCAGGGGAGTGCGAGGTTTCCTGCTCATAATGCAGGCAGTGCCTGCTTGTGGTTCTTGAAGGGGCTTGCGTTGACAAGACCCATGGGGCGCCGAAAGGCGGGCTGGCTGCAACTCAGTGCAGCAGGGCGACGGCGGCGGTCGCGAGGCCGCACGCGGCCAGCAGCAGCGCACCCGCCATGCAGCCCCATGCCGGGTGCTGGCCGGGGCGGGGGGAGCGCGCGGGGCGGGCGTCGGCGACGGGGGACTTGCCGCGGCTGCTTGGCAGGGGGGCCGCCTCCAGCGCCACGGGTGCGGCGCTGGTCGCGGGGGCGGCGCCCTCGGCCTCGGACTTGGAGCAGTTGGTGGCAGTTGTCGTTGCGGCCAGCAGCAGCTGCATCTTGGGCGCCTGGCCGGCCGTGCGCGGCGCGGTCTGCATGCGGGATGGCGGAGCCGGCAAGCAAGGGGCGTGAGCGAGCAAGAGTCGAAATGCTTTGCGCAAACCAAGGCGTGGCGGGCGTCACAGGAGCTTGTCAGACTTAAAAATCTTTGTGTCAGTCAATTGCTCATGCGCTGTTCCCATCTCGCCACCTGTGCACGACCCCCAAAGCAAGCCCCCGCACCTTGAGGACAGACATCGTGATCAGTGAGCCCGGCTTGACGGGCTGGCCAGCCACGCGGGCCGCGCCGCTGCTGGTGGTCGTGTGGAGCGGCAGCGTGGGGCTGTAGATGGTCTTCAGCAGGAGGGCGGTGGCGGTGGCGTCCTCGCCGTGGGTCTTGGGGGAGGTGATGGATGGCACCAGGGGCACCGGCCTGGGAGTCGATCCCAGCGGGCTCGCCTGGCGGGCGGGTGGGTAGAGGTGCGGGGGAATTTGAAAAAGGGGTTCATGGGGTAGGTGAGGCGGGCTGGCATTGGGGTACAGTGGCAGGCTTCAAGATAATGGATGCACAAAGCATGGCCCAAGTCTCTTTTTGACCAAAGCGGTTTTGCTCGCCGCATCTGCGCCCTTCCTTCCACCCAAGGTGACCCCCGCCCCTCAACCCTCACCCACCCAGCCCCCGACCCACGCAACCGCCCAGCCCCACCTTGGGTGCGGTCTCAGCGCCGCGCGTCGCGGGCGCGGGGGCGGTGGGGCCCAAGATGACAGCCGAGTGGTGCGCCAGGATCATGTCAGAGGCGGCCGTCTGGGCCGCATTCATGATGTAGCCGTCGGTGGCGGCGGCGCGGAAGTCGAAGGGGCTGCAGTAGAAGGAGAAGGGCACCAGGCTGGTGACCGCGTCCTGATGGGTGTCGTGAGAAAGTGAAGGGGGTGGGGTTTTTGGACGCAGGGCGTGTGAGCGGGAGACGACTGCGAGCGCGCGCGACAGACGCGGCAGAAGAGGGTCCGTTCCTTCCCTCAACTTCAGGCAAGGTGCGTGCCTGGGTGCGCACGCGCACATGACCCCAAGCGCGGCGCACCTTCTTGGGGCCGTCCAAAGCCAGGATCTTGGCCGAGCTCTTGTCATCGCTGGCGGGGGCGGTCCAGGTGACCGCGGCGCGCACGGTGACCTGTCAGGGCAGCGGTGACGTGCAGTGCGAGTCAGTAGGATGAAGGAGCAGTACCATGCATCAGCAACAGGCAGGTGCTTTCGACAACAAACCTCGACAGCAGGGTGATGCAAGGAGGTGAGCCTGGTTCTATATCCAAAAAAATTAGATGTCACCCCCTGTTGTTTTTTGGCTTCCTCGCCCACCTGAGGCATCTTGTTGAGGCTCTTCTTGGGGATGCGCACCCGTGCGCCCGCGCGGAGAGCGCCGTCGCCGTCGCCGCCGCCGCCGCCGGCCTGCGCCTCTGTCTTGGGGCCGGCCATCGGGTGGCTCAGCGCCGCGGAGGGGCAGGTGGTAGCTGACGCGGGCATCGGGGCGGCGGCGTCCCTGGTCACGGCGGTCGTTGCGTGGAGCGAGCCGCTCATCAGCACGACGGCGGTGACCTGGGGATGAAAATTCGAAGGGCGCACAGGTTGATAAGTAAAGGCATTGGTTGGTACAAGTTGGTCGAGTCTGACAAGGCGTGCAATTTGAGAAGGGGACAACTTGTGGCTGCTGAAAGGCAACTCAGATCCCCAAAACCAAGAGCCCTGCGTGTCGGCCGGCCTCTAATCAGCGCCCCGTCCAGAGCCCCGTCTCACCTTGCTCGTTATCAGCTCCTGGGACTCGTCCACATCCTGGGCCGTGGGCGCCTCGTCATCGTTGCTGAGGAGGGGGGCGCGCTGCGGCCCCGTCATCACCAGCGCCGCGGGCTGGGCGCTCTCCTGGGTGGGTGGGTGCATTGCCGTGCGAGGGATCCGAGGGGCAAAAACCAGTGAGCTGGAACGGGCCAGGGGTATCAAGACAGCCGTCGATGTGCTGTTATGCAATGATCCGATTTGTAAGTGGATCAGGCATCAGGGCGAGGCCCCTACTAGATAGTTCATTGCATCCCAAAATGCCCAGCCCTGGAATTCCCGCCTCACCTCGAACTCTGCCTCCTCTGTCGGCCCCGCGGCGACGACGGCCGCTGCCACCTCGATGTCGCCCTCGTCGTCGCCGTCACCCGCGCCGCCGCCGGCCGTCAGAAGCTCCGCCAGCTCAGCAGGCCAGCCGGCCTCCGGCCCCGCCGCGGGCCCCTCGGGGGCCGCGGGGCACTCGATCGCGCCTGCGTCGCCGTCCGCCGCCGCAGCGGCGCCCTCGGTGGCCGCCTCCGCGAAGAGCTCTTCGCAGATCGTGTCGGACGCGGCGGCGACCAGCTCCTCCACCTCGCGCTGCGTGCCCTCGCCTCGGGCCTCGGCGGTCGCGGCGGCGGCGCGCTTCCTGGCGGCGGCGGCGCGGCTCTTGTCTTCGTATCTCTTGAGGGAGCGCTGGAGGGGGTTCAGGTCGGGGTACTCCTCCTTGGCGTCCAGTTGGGAGAGGACGTACGTGTCCCTGGGTTCGGGATGCGGTTTGTTGGGGTTTGGGCGTCCCGGCAACCGTTGTGGATTCGCAAGATCAACGGCCATTCGATCGGATCACATGGTGCACGTGGCCCCGCAAAACATCTAACCGTCCCAAACGTTCACGCTCCATCGATATCACGTGCCCTAGGGGCCTCCCCAGAACCTTCGTCCCATGCCCCAC